CGAAGTCTAAGTGGCACATCTAGGATGCAACCTCTACACCTAAGGCTCACAGCACATAGAACAGGGATGAAAAAAACACGAATGCACCTCTCAGTTCTCATCAATGAAGCTCCCTCATGCAACAGAGGGCCAGGAACACAAAAGGCCACAAATGGCCAAAATGTGAAGAGTAAGAGTCTTCAGAGTGTGGGTCCTCGGACAGGCCTCCTATAAGGTCCACCCATCCAGGGCTCAGAAACCATTGCAGAAGAGGGGGTTGGAAAGATTGTAAGGGCCAGGGAGGAGGTACATGACCATATGGAAACAGTCCTACAGGCACCTGGGACCCTTCTCATACAAATCTACAGCAATGGTGTCTGTCAGCATGCACAAGACCCATGCAAACTTAAGCAGACAAAAACCCAGTGCAGAACTGCAGAAATGAACAGCAGGCCCCAATCTTTGTCGAAGAATTATTGGCAGCTGATTACTGCTGGGTGAGGAAGAGCTGATCTTCTTAAAGGGAGAGACTCTAGATAGGCTGACTAGACCCCAGTGGATGAACTTGCACTGAGGAACATCTGGGGACACTAACTTTACATGATAGCCCTTACTTAACACAAATGACAGAATGTATGAGTTGCAGTTGGGGGGAGGGCTATTGGAGGGTGCCAAAGGGGAAGGGAGTATAAAGATGATTTTTGTATGAAATACACAAAAATTCAATAAAAATAAAAATAAAAAAGAAAGGAAAGTTTTAAGGATGGAATCAGATGAATCAAGAAAGTGGTTACCGGGCTAGAGAGATGGCTCAGTGGATAACAGCACTGACTATTCTTGCAGAAGACCCAGGTTTGAATCCCAGCACCCACATGGCAGCTAACAATTTTCCATAACTCCAGTTCCAGGGGATCCAACAATCTCTTCTGTTCTCTGCAGGCATTGCACGACACAGGTGCACTTACCTACATGCAGGCAATACACACATACATAAAATAAAAATAGTAAATAAAATTTAAAAAAGAAAGTGGTTACCATGTCAGACCTTTGAAAAACTGCATTTTAACTCCAAACCTCACATCCATCCTCTATCTGCAACTATCTCAATAGGTTTGATGTGTACTTTTCGGTTGCGCTTTTGCAAAGTTCTTAGTATTTTTAAAAAATATTTTAGTTGTTATTTTTATTTTATGTGTATGAGTATATTGCCTGCATGTATGTGAGTGCACCCGTGTCGTGCATTGCCTCGGGGGTCAGAAGAGGGCTTCAGATTCCCCAGGAACTGGAGTCAAGGACAGTTCATAGCCGCCATGTGGGTGCTGGGAATCGAACCCGGGTACTCTGCAAGAGCAGTCAGTGCTCTTAACTGCTGAGCCAATCTCTCCAACCCCAGTTCTTTCTTAGTATTTTTAATTGATACAAATATTATACTGTATATCTCTTTCTGACTTGTTACACTCCCTAGGATAGGACTCAGGTGCTCCAACCCCATAACCAACACTAGTATGATGCTCTGACACACATGTCAGACCGTATCCCCTCCTGGGCCTGTGTGAGGTGAAGCACTGGTTCATAGGGTAGAATCTTAACCCCATAGCCCTGCCCCCCCCTCACTCCTCCCAGGGATGCCTCTGGAAGCAGCATTAGTGTCATCAGCATCAAGTTGGACTCCATTTCTCCCAGTCCAACATTCATAAAGTAATGTCTCATTATTTCCTTACCTTACATCTCTCTGATGATTTAGGAGTTGGAGAATGCTCCAGGTACTTTAGAGGCTCTTGGGTTCTCTAGAGTCTTCTAATCAGATTTAAGGAGGAAGAGGAAAGGCTCACCTATTTAACTGACCTGAAACATCGATGACGCTACAAGAGTAGATACTTGCCCTGCCTTGCTTAGCAAGCAGAACATAACAGATAGTACAACCAGCATGTGCCCCATGAGACTTCAGGGTTGGCAAGGCAGGGGCATCTTAAATGTGATTAGGATTTTATTAAGAAGCAAGACTGGCCCGGCATGATGGCACACACCTTTAATCCCAGCACTCAGGAGGCAGAGGCAGGATCTCTGTGAGTCCAAGTACAGCCTGGTCTACATAGTGACTTCCAGGCCACCTGGGGCTACAGGGGGTCGCTGCCTGAAAAAGACCAAAATAATAATAATGATAATAATAATAATAACCAGGACTGTTACATGTTATATTGCATTTAGATCCTTTTGTAGCTAAGTAAACTGGCATCTCTAAAAGCAAGATGACTTGCCTAAGGCCTCCCTATTCATAAATGACTCAGCTGAATCTAGTTTCCAGTTCTCCTAGTTCAGGAATGTTCTGGGCCACCGTTACTACCTTTACCTAGTCTGGAGCCACAGAAGAGGCTTTGTGGGGAAGAAACAAATTGCACTGAGTATCAGAGGATAAAGACCATTCATGAGAGCAGCCAAGGGGGGTAGCCAGGTTTATGCTTCAAGGAAATGCCAGGACCTGGAGCTCATAATTGATCGGGATCTCAATCAGCATCCTGAAAAGGTGGCAGTCGGAAGAGGGGCTGAAAGAACAGCCAGACTAGTGTGGACCGGCTCCTGCCTGTGCTCTCTTGTCCCTTCTATAAAGCCCCAGCAGTCCCCGGCAGTTCTCTGTGCCCCCAGATTTATTTTGCTTTCTTTCGCTAAATCAAACTTTATCAGACAGTTTTACTGTCAGCCATTAAACCAAAATGTGTTTGTGCAACAGTAAACACCTTGTTACTACAGGGAAGGATTACATAAACAACAGCGGATGAGGCTAACTTGCTGTACCCGGGAGCCCGCTGGCCATGTGGGGATAGAGGAGGGCACTTCAGGGGCACTCCATAGCCCAGAGGTGAGGGGACAGGGATCACTCCGGCCTGGGTTTCTGCTGTAAAATGAAAGGACTTACAGGCATCCCTCTAGTCAGAAGAGCAGGGTCCTCTAGAGATCACAGAGGGAAAAAGGACTCTGTCAGAGCTCTGGAGGAGGAGTAACAGGGAGAATGGTACAGGGGGCTGATGGACCAGGAAAAGAAAGGCCAAACAGGGGACAGAAGTGGAATCCAGTAAGAGTGGTGGGCTGCAGGCTAAGTACAGAAAGGGAAAAGACAAAGGCAGGAGGAGTAAAAAAACAGAGAAGGCTAGGGTAGGGGACAGGAGACAAGCCACTGGGGAAGTCTACAACCAAGAGGCTGCCTACTTGGGCCTGAAGGGTTGGTCAAAGTGTGGCCCATTTGGGGTCCCCTGAGGCATGGATGTGTATACTGGTTTAAGATGAGTGGCAGATAGAGACACTGAGGTGTGTGACCAGAGGCAGGGCCAATGGGCAGGAAGCCATCTGGAGTATCCCTCTTGCTAGGTCTTCTCAAGTCTCCGGGTCAGAGCACAACACTCCCTACACTTACTCAGCTCAGTAATAACCTGTATTCAGGGTGAGTATTCAGGATGGGTATTGTAACAGAAACTGTTTAGAGTAGGGCTTCTCAGCTTTCCCACTCACAACTTCTTTTTGCCTAAGAAACTTTTACTCAACCTGGGTATATAGATATAGAAAAGAGGCATATAAATCAAACATTTACTGATAATAAATCATTAAAAACTATCTTAAAACAAATCATTGACATACATATTTCCTTTTTTTCTTTTTTCTTTTTAAATAAATAATTTATTGAGAATTTCATACATGCATATAAGGTGTTTTGATCAAATCCATGCCCACTCCCTCCCCTCCAACTCCTCCCATATCTCCTCATCACTTTTTTCTGATAACTTCATGTACTCTTTCTTCTTATTTATTTATTCTTTTATGGGGTTTTGGCTACTCTAACATCCTCCCCCAAGAGGTAACCCTAAAATCTTTTAAGGATTAGATAAAAGCTCCCAA